TTGGATAGGGCAAGGCCCTGGGGACAGAGTTCAAGAACTCCTGTCTCCAAATAAAAGGTAGGAACGAACTTTCACAAAGAGTGAGACCCCGCAGATGTGTACGAGTCTTAGCAATGATGAAGCTGAACCAATCGGGTAGGCAAGCCAAATTGCTCCCCAAGTGTTAGAGATATCAAGGAAAAAAAAATGCAAGCAAGAAAATGTAAGTACTCAGAAAAAAGCTTCATTTCAAAAGAGGGGCTTTGCGTCCCCTAGAGCTACAAGAGTGAAAGAAGAAAGTACAATTCAAAAGAAAAGCCTTCATCTGGCCCCGGGCATCTCAAAAACATCGTCGGAGGGCGAATCAACGTAGAAAGGTTGGGCATCTTCGGGCACAGGATGGGATTGGACCGGATCGACGACAACAGAAGTCTCGGGAACATTGTGGTCAGGTGCCAAGCCCGACGAGGCCTCCTCTGATGGGACTAGAATCACCACCTCGGGCGGGTCTGCCAAAACTTGCATCGGCATTGAAGTCGTACCCTCGGCAGCAATCTCGGCCTCTGCCTGTTCCATCTCAATCGATTGTACATAGTTGTGCATCTGGAAGAGCGGGGAGTCTGGAGGGACCCCGACGGATCGGAGCGCCTCGTCCCACCCCCTCTTGAAGAACTCTCTACTATTTTCCTCAAGAGCAGGCAGTACGTCATCGGCGAATTCATCTCGGAGTTGTTCTTCAGATTTCCTGCTCTCTACCTCAGTCCTGATCCTGTCTAGCTCCTAGGTCAGAGCCAGAAAGCTTTCCTCTGAACCAACAGCCCTCTTCTTTGCCACAGAGAGCCGTTGCGTCTGCTTTGTAATCCTCCTCTCAGCGTCGGCCAAGGCAGCACTTAGCTTTTCAGCACCGACCTTCGCCAACTCGGCATCCTTGAGGGGTTGTTCGATTTGAGCAGCATGCCCCGCGAGGATGGAATCCCTGGTAGCGACATCCTCCTTAGCACTGGCGAGGGCTCCCTCGGCTTCTTCCTTCTACTCTCAAACCCGCTGAAGGTCCATCCTAGCCCCATGACCGCGCCGCTATTATAGAAATTTGTTGGGTGGCCTGCAAAGGAAAGGGCATGTCGATAAAAAGAAAAGCGGCTAGAAAGGACTAAAAGCAAGAATGAACTTACCACCAGGGAATTCTGAATGATAGAGCGAAACAACACGTTCGTTGATCTCCCCCTGTGAGCCACCATGTCGGCCTCGAAGTGCAGCGTCTCACCCACTGCGTTGGCAACATGGGGGTCCTGCAAAATGGAATCGTCAACCCTGATCACTCGGTTCATGTGATCAGCCGCCCGAAGATTCCACTCCGCGACTTCCACCGTCTGAGGAAGGGGAGGGGGAGTCTGTTCCTGCTGCTGTTGCTGTTGTTGCCTCTGCTGCTGCTGTGGAGGAGGAGGTAACCCACGGCCTCTCCCGCTTTGCTGCTAAGCGGAGGGGGCCTTGGATCCCCTGCCCAGGCCATCGTGCCTTTGTTTAATCCTCCTCTCCACCTCGACCTGAGGATCTCGATCGCGCACTTGGCCCCGACCAACAGCCCTTGAAGGTGGAGTGACGCTGGTCCCTGTAGGTGGGGGGCCGCTTGTTGACCCACGCCCCCGCCCGGCTACGAGGGCTTACCTCTGCCTCAAGAATCTCAGATCAATGCGGGGCGTGCTGGACATTGCTATCTCGAGGGCGTCCTCGGCGTCTCGAGATTGCAGGATTTGGAAGTCAGACCACGAATCTTTCCCTGAAGTCCCCACCTCGGCGTGCGAAGGGACCAAGTCCTCTCTGACCCCAAGCTCTTCAACTTCACCCTCTACTTCTACCTCCGTAGCCCAGTTAAGGTCTTCCTCCAAGTTCTCCTCGTTCTCTTGCCTCACCGCCTGATCGAAGAGTTCAGACCACCGCGAAGGCTTGAAAAGCTGGGAAAGCTGTGAAAACTTTTTATATCCGAGAGTGTAATTCAGGAGGATGTGGGTAGCCCGGCCGAACCCGTCGTCACCAGTAAATCTCCAAACAGTGACTAGATCGGTAAAGTTCACCAAGGACAGAGGTGGAGGAGCTGTTTCCCGAGGGGAGATGTCTGCACACAAACAAAAAGAGAGGGGAGTGAGTTATGAACTCTGCTAAAAAATCTCAAGAACAAAATAATAGACCCGAAGAAGCTGACGTACTTGTCGTTCTCCATTCTAAAGGGCATAACAAGCCGTTGTACTCGGGATCGGCACCCCTCTACCAAAATCCCTTGAAGATGAGTAGGTCATCCTTGTACCCCTTGTCCGAGTCGGAAAGATGAGTTCCGAGGTACATGGATGGGTCCCTGGCTTTGAGGTGGAAGTTTTGTTAGGGCATGACTCTCAAGAGGGAGTAGCAAAAGAGGATATCGTTCAGCCCAACATTTATCCCAAGACGCTTGTTGAGCTCTAGGACTCCCATAATTATTCTGAAGACATTAAGGCAACACTGCCCGGGGAAGAGGTGGGAGAAGAACTGGAGGAGTAGAGGGGGCAGAGGGAACCTAATTCCGCCCTCTATGATGGCTTTGGTATAAAAGGGCATCTCATCCTCGGCCCCGAGGGTACGGGAATGCACAGCCGAGTCATAATCTTTTATGTCTACGTATGGGGGGATGTTGTACTTGACCCTAAAACTATTAATTTGTTCGCCTCCTTTTACTTTATACTTTCCTGGCCTCGAAGAACTGGCCTGAGGATTCTCAGGGGCAGGAATACGACGGGGCATCTCCTAAAAGTGATAAACAGTGAATAAGGAGGGGGGGTTTTTTCACGACGATCCCCAAGGAGGCTTCTCGAGGATTGGTCGCTGAGTAGCAACCAGAAACGCCTCCAATTATCAGAAAACCAAAAAGAAGAAAGAAAAAACGAGAAGAAGAGGAGACGGAAGGCGAAGAAAGGGAAGGTACAAGGACTCACCAGAACGTAAAAGGAAGTTTTTTCTTGAAACTTGAAGCGACTCCTTCCTCCAGAATGGTCAGAAGCAATGATGGGTCTGCTGGTCTTAAGACTCCGGTGAAAGATTGGACAGTAGACGACGAAAAGAAAGGGATCTCCAGCGAGGTTTCAGGCGATGGCTCTCTGAAATGGCAAAGTGAGAGGGGGAGAGAGGAAGCCCATTTATATAGTACTCCTCCCCATCATTTGGGCACGAAGCATGAAGAGGCGCATTTAATGCGCACGACCTTCGAAGCAGGGAAAAGCGGCTGAAGGCAATGATGAAGTAGTTGGGGTAATTGTAGAACCCTTCGTCTCCTTACGACGTGTGTCCTCGGTGTCAGAAGATCGAAGGTTGGGGGACAGTTGATGGGACATTTCCAAGTACTCCAAGATGAAGACACGTGTCCTCGGTATCACTAAATTCTTTTCTTATAAACGTGACACGTACCCGTCAGATCACAAGTCCCTATTCCCCCGAGGTACTGTTTATAGGGATCAATGACATCCAGTACGTTACATACGACACGTATCCCTTGGGATCGGATAGGGTACATTGGTCCTACATGTACCAAACCCCCCTTGGTACCGAGATGTACCCCCCGTCCAGGAAGGCGTTCTCTGCTTCTGCAGAGACTATTGATGTACAGGTCACTAGCCTAGGCTAGGCTAGGTTAGCCATCATAACCTCGTCTTACACAATTGGTGTCAGAAGGCAGGGGACACAGCCAATGGGGAATGGACGCGTGGCATATTGTGTCACATCAGAGACAAAAAGATCGGATGTCCTTACTGACACACGACTTGGGAAAGTAAGCATTTAATTACACCATTCCCTTGATGAGACAACATTTAATGCGGTAAGGCTCGGAAGTGAAAGGTAATAAATGTCCCTAAGGCTGGGCATTTATTACATCCTTGCTGAGAAGAGCTCATTAAATAGTCGGCAGACCGATGACACAGCCTTGGTTGCTCGGGATCTCGAGCAGTTAAAAGAGAAGACATTCCTCATATGAATCAATGTGCACGTTGCCTGTATCTAATGATCATCTACTGACCACACTGACAGCAATCATGAGTATTTGAGGTATAAATACTCCTCACAAAAGGCAAGAAAGAAAGGAGGTAAAACCTTTGCTAAAACATATACTCAGTGTTTTCTTCTTCCTCTCTCTCAAAAGCTGACTTGATCGTCGGAGGGGATACGCCGAAAAACACTCCGGCGCCCTTCTAACTTGTCTTTCTTTGTTCCAGGAACCTTCCTCAGCCTTACTGGATCGTTCCGTTGATCCACGAGGGTCTCCCATTATCGTTTCAGGTTACCACCGGACCTCACAGACTGTTCCAAGCAGTAGGGTTGACCACTCAACTGACTCACTCGAGTTCACCAAGGGAGATATCTGTTTTCGTATTTATATTGTGCATGATCCAACACGCACAGGAAACAAAAAGTGATCCTTGAGAAATGGTAACATTGATCTCTCTGTAGTTGAGAAAAAATATAAGTCGGGGGATATATTAGCTGAGTTTTTTAATTTCTACGTGGGTAAGAATTGCCTTATGAAAGCGAACTCTGTAAGGTTTTCTTTCTAGGGCTAGAGTAAATGATGGAGATTTATAATTTGGTTGAGAGACATATAGGAAATGTACAGATATCTTAGAAGCCTCTAATGTTGTTGGAGTTTGATTGGAAGTAAACATGCAACCAATACAAAACATGGCACCACCAACTGTTAGATACGTAGGTTGATCATTAATTTTCTTTTTAGTCGGGAATTGGTCTAACCACGTGTCTTTTGTACTCATGGTTATAAACTTCGTTACAATAAATAATTTGCATATATAGAGGTTGGTCCTTTATGGTTTATCCTAGAATGATATTGATTTTTTGGTTCAAAACAAGGGTGCCTTGCCTGCTCTTTGTATCACAGCACTCACATTAGCCTGGGAGTTTACATATGGTAAAGAAAATATTGACATCCTGATATTATTACCCCACAACTTTTTCTTTCAATTATATGTGTTTTGAATTTTGTGTAGGATGGGAATAGTGGTAGCAAAGAGCGTAACAACATCGATTGGGACACTGATGATGAAATTGAGATAATGGAAAGTGTAGGCACTTCCTCTTGTTCGGGTCCTATATTTCCTAGTCGAAAAGCTATTGCAGGCTCTATGGAGGTAAAGCCAGACCATAGTTTACCGCAATTTATCTACTTCCTCCCGGTGTGTATGTGTCTATCTTAAACAATCATCTACTTCAAAAACTTAAGTTGTTGGAGAGGGCGAGATTCAAACACAAGATTCCGATACCATGTTAAACAACCATCTGTTCCAAAAGTTTAAGATGTTGGAGGGAGTGTAATTTAAATATTTATATTTCAAAAGTCTGTGTGTGTGTGAGAGAGAGAGAGAGAAAGAAAAAAAGAAATATGCGTACAAGAAAGTCAATTGAGAGTTTTGAATTTAGCTATAATTGAGTGTGATCTTATTTCTATTTCGGATTCAGAATATTTTGAATTTTCCATAGACTTATAGTGTTTTCCTGTGTTTGTGTCTTTAGGCAAGTTCTGCTAACATTTCTTCTAGCTTCAAAGTGATTCATTATTTTATCTTTTTTTGGGGGGGAAGGGGGAGGAGGAGGGTGACTTGAAATCTTGACCTCAAGAAGGCAAAGTTTTTGCAAGATAAGAAGTACCATTAGACCAAAGGTCCATTGGTACAATTCATTATTTTATGGAAATTGGATTTCCAGAAGAAATGGTGATTAAAGAAATACATGAAAATGGTAAACCCACTCTTATTTCGAGTCTAACCTTATATCCTTGTCTTTCCAAGTTGATTTTTGGATTCAGATTTTTGTTATGATAGGAGAAAGTAATGCAGAAGCCGTACTTGAATCTCTTCTTACATTCTCGGTGAGTAATTTTCACTTAATCTCGAGTACAATGATACTTTGATGGACATGTTATAATTCAAAGTACTTTTTTGAGTACAGTGGTGTGATCATAGGAATGTTTGATATAACTTATGTTAGGAATATCTATGTTACTTGTATAGTAATGATGCAGGCCCTTGAGAACCTTGCCCAAGAAAAAGAAGATGTTTCTAATGAACCATGCTCTTCTAAGCCTGAAAGTGTTTTTAAGGATGAGTTCTCAAATGTGGATAGCTGCCCTAGGAATGAGGTATTTTTTGTTTTTGACTTCATATAATTACTATGGTGTTTTTATGTTTTTACAAACTTCATTCAACCCCTACATCCTCTTCCATTAACAAACAATAGGAGATCTTGATTTCATACAAGAGTCATACGCATGAACCAAGCTAGGAATTCGCGCCTTGATTGCCCGCGAAAGCCGTAGCCCTTTGATTACTTAGGAGAACCGGCCTTATTTAGTAAAAGCCTTCTCTTGCTTGATGTTTTCCTATAGCGAGTTATTCCCCGTGATCCACCTATGAGATCGCTGTAATGAGGGCGGCAAGAACCAATATGGGAAAGGTATATATATACACAAAAAACAAAAATCAATAAGGGTATCTTAAAAATCTACAAAGGTGACTCAGAAAAAAATTGTTTCACCATGCTTATGTAATTGACGTTCACCAGCAACTCATTTTGTTGACATTGAACCGATGACATGGTCTTTTCTCATTTGTCAATAGTTTTAACCTAGTCTATAGGTCGTCTCTTCAATGCACAATAGAGGCTCTATTTTTGAATGATATACATTCATAGGTAAAACTCACCCTTAAAAACCAACTTACTCGAGAAAGAAAGGATATTTAGGAGTTCATACACACACGCATACTCAATCCTACGCTCGGCCAATGTGGGACACTTGGGATCCCAACAGTGAGTAACATTAAGTTGACTCTGCTTCTGATGGTTGTATCCATGCAATAAATAAATATTAGCAACTATTTTCTGCATAGATAAATCATCATGCATTTTCTTCGGTTTTCACGCCCTTGAAATTTAATTTCTCAAAAATTAATTAAGACATGTCACTTATGTTTTGGATTGTTTTCATGAAATTCTTGCTTATACTTCACAATATGACATAGATATTATTTTCTTTGTTCCAGGAACACACAGACCAATTACTTAAGAAGGATATGGCATTGTCACTTCTAATGGAAATGGGTTACCAAGCTGAGGAGGCTTTGACTGCCATTGAAAGATGTGGTTAGTATATAGTACTTGATGATATATAGAATCCAATTACCCTTATATTTCTTCTACATCATATGGTGTTCTATAGAATTCTCTGATCCCAACAGACTTATACCAGTCTTTACTTCTTCTTATCCATCTTCTAATATTACATTAGTGAGATAATTACACTTGACTCCTTACCCATTGCTGGCTAAGTCTCATTTTATCCCTTCAATATTGAGTTTGTCATTATTCCCTAAATTATTAGAATTGGTTTCATAATTGTTACAAAATTAAACATTCGCGTTATTTTGATAGGAAATGTTTGTGTTATTAGATTTTGAAGCAAATTATAGCAAAATCTTATAGTTCTGGGACAAATTTACACAATTTTTCTGAAGAAATAAACAAGAACTCAATGATTTACGTGCTTCAGCTGTCAGGGTAGTAACCTACGTTATCTTGGTCAATCTTTTTCTTCCCAAGTTGTCTTCTTGTCCTTTAGAAGAAGAGGAAAAAAGAAAAATGAAAGATCAACATCAGCCAAGATTCAAGAGTAGTTATGCATAGAAGCATTTAGTGGTGCAAGAATGCAGAAAAAGGGACTTCATCTTTGGCTGCGGATAGAGTCTGAGGTGATCTTCATTGGACAAGTCTTCAAGAGAGGTATCGGCATCCTTTTCCATTTGAGCAGTACAAATGAAATCCAATAGATCAACTATGGGCGTCTCTAGACCTGCCACATTTAGTTTAATTCTTGTCTCATATTATATCTCAGATGTCATGTTTCTCACAATATCGTATCGCAAACTATTGTTAATAATATTTCATTATCCACATAACAAACTCCAAATAGAAATTGGATGAAAATGTTGGTGGAGAAGAGAGGATATTATGGGACTTGTTTCTATTTGTGAGTTGATTGTTGAGACCACATTTTTTATGTTCTCTTTATTGGCAGTTACCAAATTAGATTGCACAATTAGTAACATTCTACAATCCTTGTATCCTTATATATTGCTATTGTGATTTCTCTTGAGACATAATGGCCCTATAGATTGTCTCAAAGCTCGTTTGCTTGCTAAAGGATATACCTAAATTTATGGTGTTGACTATTCTGAGATATTTTCTCTTGTTAAAATCTCTTCTATCAGAATTTTAATTTCACTTGCTACTAATTTTCACTCATCTTTTTTTCAATTTTCAATTAGATGTCAAGAATGTTTTCCTATATAGTGATTTAGCATAAGAGGTTTACATGGAACAATCACCTGAATTTGTAGTTCAAAGGGAGTATTAGGGCCGTGTGTGTAAATTAAAGAAAGCCTTATATGGGTTGAAACAATCTTTGCGTGCATGGTTTGAAAAATTTTCAGAGGCAGTATTAAAGTTTGGTCTTTATAGGTGCCAAATAGACTACTTCGTATTTTATTTACGAACTAAGGCAGGTAATATCCTTCTTGTTGTTTATGTTGATGTTATTGTGATTACAAATGATGATTTTGTGGGTATTGTAAAGTTGAAACACTTTTTATAGCATGAGTTTCATACCAAAGATTTAGACAAACTGAGATATTTTTTTGGTATCAAAGTTGTTAGATCTAAACATGACATAAGTTTATCTTAGAGAAAATATGCGGTTGATCTTTTGGAGGACTTGGAATATGTGAAAGGGATACTCAAACTCAAAGTAGAGTCCCGTATATATAGCCAAAAATAATACAGAGTGACTTAAACATCCTTGTAGTTTAGGCAAAATATAAAAATCATAGTAAGGGTAAAAAAGAGAAAAGAAATCCTAATAAACCTAGAATACTATCTATACTCCAACACTCCCCCTCAAGCTAGGCGCAAAAATGTCAACTAAGCCAAGCTTGACAACGGAGTCCCGAAGAATAGGCAGAGTGACAGGTTTGGTAAAAACATCCGCAACTTGATCACTGGTCCCCACAAACGATGGAGTAACAAGACCACTGCTGACCTTCTCCCGAAGAAAGTGAACATCGATCTCTATATGCTTCGTTCTCTCATGTAGTACAGAGTCAGAAGCGAGCTGAATAGCAGATTGATTATCACAATATAATGTGGATGGAGAGGTCACTGAAAAACCCAACTCGTCAAGAATCGATCGTAGCCAGATAATCTCACATGTGCCAAGTGCCAATGCCCGATACTCTGCCTCTGCGGACGAGCGGGAGACAACTGCCTGCTTCTTGCTCTTCCAAGAGATAAGATGAGTCCCTCGAAAAGCACAGAAACCCGTAGTAGATCGACCATCACATGCTCCCCCATAATCTGAATCTGAATAACAGGCTAGAGAACCGGTCTGAGATCCTGATGCATAAAATAATCCAAGTCCAGGACAAGACTTGAGGTACCAAAGAATATGATAAACTGCATCAAGATGAGGCTGACATGGCCTATGCATGAACTGACTAACTCGGCTAACTGCGAATGAAATGTCCGGCCTAGTATTGGCTAAGTAGATAAGTCTACCTACCAATCTTTGATAAACTGTCGGATCTTTCAACTCCTCACCTTCAGCAGTAAGCTTCAGGTTTGGAATCATAGGTGATGATGCCGGTTTGCACCCCAACATCCCAGTGTCTAAAAAAAGATCCAAAACATACTTTCTCTGAGAAAGAACAATACATCTGCTTCTACGGGCAACCTCAATCCCAAGAAAGTATCGCAGAAATCCAAGATCCTTCACATCGAAGGCCTTTCCAAGGTCTATCTTGACCTGCGCAGTCCCAGAAACATCATCACCAGTAATAATAATATCATCAACATATACCAAAAGGATGACACACTGTCCAGAAGTATTCCGTCGAATAAAGCAGGTATGATCAGAATGACATCTGGTGAACCCCAATCGTATGACTACATCACTGAAGCGAGAGAACCAGGCTCGTGGCGACTGTTTCAGTCCATAAAGAGACTTACGCAGTCGACATACCTTTCCAGCATACTCCCCCTCACCACGAAAGCCCGGTGGTGCATCCATATAAATAATCTCGTCCAGATCACCGTGAAGAAACGCATTCTTCACATCTAATTGATGAAGGGGCCAAGAGTACTCCGCAGCCAGAGAAATAATTAACCGAACAGTAGTCAATTTTGCCACGGGGGCAAATGTAGCACCAAAGTCACGACCTGGTACCTGAGTAAAGCCCTTCGCCACAAGTCTAGCCTTGTAACGATCAATAGTACCATCTGCCAGAAACTTCAGGGTGTAAACCCAGCGACAGCCAACAGGCTTCACCCCTGAAGGTAAGGAGACAAGATCCCATGTATGATTACGCTGAAGAGCGTCCATCTCTGTCTGCATGGCAAGAACCCACTGGGGCTCCCGCATAGCTTCCGAAATAGAGCGAGGAACCAGCGTATCTGATAAGGCCATAGTATAAGCTCGAAATGTGGGAGACAGATTACCATAAGAAACATAAGCAGAGATCGGATATAAAATCTTGGCGGTCCAACCATATCGATCAACTGGACGGCGATCACGCCTTGGATAACGACGCCCTAAATCACCATCCTCTACTGATAATATCTTATCAGGTAAAGTAACTGGCTCAGCACCTGTAATCTCATCAGTACTAACAACAGGTGCATCAATATGCTCAACAAACTGAGAAGTATTACCTGCATCGCCTGAGGTAGAGGGGATATCAGCAGGGTGATGAGAGCGAGGACAACGAGCATACACCTGCAAAGGAAGAGAGACTGGTAACTCTGTACTGACAGGGATGAGTGACTCCTTGGGAGGAAAAACGGATGACCCTGTAGGGATAGTGATCAATGACTCTGACTCTTGTGGTAATGGAAAATCAAAGGGAGTATCATCAACTGGAGGGGCAGACAAAGGACTGAAAGGAAAATAAGGAATATGCTCAAGAAAGGTAACATCTAGACTGTGATACATACGACGCCTAATAGGATCATAACAGCGATACCCCTTAGATTGATGACAATAGCCCACAAAGATACAACGAATCGCTTTATCATCAAGTTTATGACGAGTAGGAGACCGATCCTGAACAAAACATGTGCATCCAAAAACACGAGGGGGGACCGGAAAAAGTGTCCGCTCAGGAAATAAGACCTGTAAGGGAGCCTTATGCTGAAGAACACAACTCGGCGTACGATTGCACAGAAAGGTAGAAGTCAAAACAGCAAAATGCCAATAAGATTTTGGTACCCTCATGCCTCTAAGCAGACAACGTACCATCCCTATCAAACTCCTATTTTTCCTCTCAGCAACACCATTTTGCTCAGGAGTATATGGACAAGTGAGTTGCTGAAGGATACCCTGAGAAGAAAGGTGAGACACTAAAGCATCAGACACATATTCTTTGGCATTATCCGAACGAAGAGCACGAACAATGACATCGAATTGTGTCTTAATCATCTGTAAAAACTGAGTGATTATAGGGAGCACATCAGACTTCCTATGCAAAAGGTAGACCCAAGTACAACGGGTATGATCATCTATAAATGTCACATAATATCTGGCACCTGACAGAGCAGTAACGGGAGAGGGTCCCCAAATATCAGAGTGTATTAGGTCAAATGGCTTGGGTGACTGGTGCATGCGAGGAATATAATTGGCCCTAACATGTTTTGATAGGGAACAGATAACGCAATCAAGTTTACCACCAACACAAGCATTACTCAAAGCAGGAAACAACATACATAAATATTTAAAATTTGTATGTCCAAAACGGTCATGCCACAATTGAACAGTTTGTGACGAAAAATCATAACGACAACTACTAGGTAAAATACTAGCATGCAAGCTAGGAACAGAAAAAGACAAAGCAGGTGCAGGTGAAGGAATTGGTGAAACTGGAGATGGATTGCCAAGATAATACAGTCCATCTTTCTCATGTCCCTTGATAATAATCCTCCTGGTACTCAGGTCCTGCAAATAACACGAATCAGATAAGAATACAACCGCACAGTGAAAATCTCTGGCTAACTGATGTACAGATAATAGATTCATGGCCAACTTTGGCGCATGAAAAACCGAATGTAATGTAAGGCCATCTGGGAGACGGACTGTACCCCTACTAACAATAGGGGCATGTGTTCCATCTGCTAACTGAACCTGTGTATGTAACGGCTCGTCAAAAGTGGTGAAGTGATGGGCCTCACCTGTCATGTGACCATTCGCACCCGAGTCCAACATCCAAAGGGGAGATGAACTGGCACAAGCGTGAAAGGCACGAGATATACCTGTAGTGGTGACAGCAGCAGTAGTCAGACTCTGAGAAGTCAGAGCAGACATAAGTATATCTAATCGGGAAGTGATAGCATCCATATCACTTTGCCAAGGAGGAGCAGTAGCAGGAGTGGCGGTAGTGGGCGGTGGTACCTCAGCAATAGCAACAGTACGGCTGCGAGAAGGTGGCTTAAGCTCTGGATGGAGCTTCCAGCAAGTAGCCCTGAGATGTCCTGGTCGGCCACAATAATCACATTGACGGGAATCCCCCCGTCTGCGCTGATCTGGGACGCCCTGACAGCGCTGGTCTGAGCGTTGCCCATCCCTGACTAAGGATCCTGAACGGGACCCTACAGCAGCTGCAAGGGCCATCTGGTCAATCGAAGGAGTCAAAGCTGCAACTGGAAGTGATGCAATACGGACTCGACGCTCATGCTGCTCAATCATCCCATACACCTCATAAAGAGAAGGAAGTGTCAACATCGATAAGATCTGAGAACGAGGTCCCTCAAACTCATCACGAAGCCCCATAAGGAACTTGTGAATCCTATCCTCCTGCTCTCGAGTATGCAAGAATGCTGTTTCCTCGGGCTCTATCTTCGGAATAGCAGCAAGAGGACGTAGAGACTCATACTCAAGCCAGCGCTGGGTCAAATAGCCATAATAATCCTGAACGGTCATATCTCCCTGTCGAGCATATGAGAGCTCCTGAGAAAGCTCATAAACACGAACTCCCCGTCCTGACTGAGAATACATCTCTGATAATGCGCTCCATAGCTTCGGAACAGAGCTATGAAACTGATAGATCCTGCAAACAGAGGGCTCCATTGAGCCAAATAACCATCCAAGAATGGCACAGTTTTCAGAGAACCACGCAGAATATCCAGGGTCGGCATCAGCTGGCTTTGGGTGAGATCCCGTCAGCCAACCAAGCTTCCCTACACGGCCTAAGAAAAGCTGGAATGAGCGTGATCACTCAGCGAAGTTACGACCATTCAACAATTGTGCCGTAACTTTTTGAGAGATCATGCCCGGTAATGCTGGTAATGCAACTGTGCTAGTAGGCACTGTATACTGGTCAAACATAAAAGTGGAAGTACCCATAGATGTCTCAACGGTAGAGGTGTCAACAGTAGAGTTCTCAAGTCCCTCAGTAGTAGCCATATCAACAATAATACTAGGGCACCCGTGACAGAAAAATAACTCTAAGATAAATAGAGGAATAAAATAAGGGAGAACAATATACCATCAGTCGAACAGTAGCGACAAATAAGGAAGGTCCAAAAAGCTCCCAAATAATCAAGTCACGGTGCCCAGAAATCCAATAAATATAAATGATCTACTGCATTAAAAGCAGATCAACGGAGAAAAGGATCTGGTGCCTCCTCAAAAAGGCCTAGATATTGCAACTCTAGAAAAAAAGGTGGCGCGAAAAAATAACGACACTGTGACGAAAAGATACACGTGACCCAATAGCGGGTTGATGAGTGGGCTGGTTTGGGGCTGGTCTAGGTTTGGTTTGGGTTGGACTGGGCAGTGGGTCGACGAATTGAGGTGGGCTGGGTTATGGGTTATGAGTTATATTGATCAAAGAATAGTTTGTTGGTTGTTTTGGTAGGCAGTCGGTGGTGTTTTTGGCTGGGTTCTATCGGCGGGGCAGTGGACTCGGGACTTGGGACTGGGCAGTGAGCTGTTTGTTTGTTATGGGCTGTCGGTGGAGCTGCTGGTTTAATGGAGTGGACGCAGTTGACAGTCGGTAGTCGGCAGTCGGTGGATGATGGGCTGACTGTGTAATCAGTTGGCTGGGTTCTTTTCGATCGGCTGGGTTCTATGGAGGTTGTCGCTGGTTTTGGAGGCAGTCGCTGGGTTCTATGGAGGCAGTCGCTGGGTTCAGGAGCTGCTGTTTTGGTTCGCTGGTTCTGGTGGCCTGGGTGTGGCGCTGGAGGTTGGGCAGGCTGTTGCAGATTGTTTGGGTTGATGAGTGGTCTGGGTGTGGCGCTGGAGGTTGGGCAGGCTGTTGCAGATTGTTTGAGTAGTGGAATGGTGGCTGCTGGGAAGGTGATGAAGGCTAGGGTTAAGGTTAGGGTTAGGGTTAGGGTTAGGCTTAGAGATGGAGGCTAGGGTTTTGGCTCTGATACCAACTTGGAATATGTGAAAGGGATACTCAAACTCAAAGTAGAGTCCCGTATATATAGCCAAAAATAATACAGAGTGACTTAAACATCCTTGTAGTTTAGGCAAAATATAAAAATCATAGTAAGGGTAAAAAAGAGAAAAGAAATCCTAATAAACCTAGACTACTATCTATACTCCAACAGGAGGAAACATGATTTTTATGTGGTCAACCAATGGACATTCCTATGGATTCAATTCATAAACTCTTAGAGAGTAAGGGTGAATGCTTCTTTAATCCTGGACAATATCGTAGTTTAGTTGGAAAGTTGGAGACGGATTTTATTTTCGTAGTCCATTTCCAAGTCCATTAATAATGTAAAATTCAATTCAGAATTTGCTTCAATCTAAATAATTTAATTAACTAAATTTCAACTAATTTTTTTTAAATAATCACTTAATTTCTTTAATATTTATATATAAATATATAATATAAAACACGGTAAGTTTCAATAAGTTCATTCGACGGTCTCAAATAGAGTTATTTAATGACCATCAATATTTCTTTCAAATTATTCACATTACACCGTACTTTCAAACACGGGTTACCCCTAATATATAAATAATTTGAGTTGGATATGAATATATCTAAATCTCAATTCTTGAAATATAAAATATCGGATACAAATTATTAGTAAAAAAATCAATTTATATCCAGTTAATTTGATTTTTTTTTTAACACTCTGTTAATTTGATTTGAATTTGGATTAAAATCCAATCCGTCTACTCTCAAGCAGTTTCCACTCGATCTCTTCTCCAGGTCTCTCCGTCTCTCCAGGCTCTTTCTCTGCTCGCTGTCGTGCCATCATACCCTATGTGTGGCAATCATCTCTCTATCTTCACTCTCCCACATTGTTTTAAAACTCGCCCCGGCTCAACGGGTTGACCCAGTGAACCGGAGTTTAAACGAGGCTGGTTCACCTGTAGGATCGTTTGTGCACTAAAACCAGATTAAACCTCCTGAACCGGATGAAAACCTGTTGAAACGTTAAAATGGGACAAGTTTAAGCAAACCGGTTGGATCAATTAAATTACGATAAAACGCTGAGCTTTGCCCCTTCCCCTTTCGGGCATTTTGCCCTAAATCGTTTCAAGCCTTGACCACCCCAGGCACCCCACCTACTGCTCCGCGTCTCTGCCTTGTCGACGCCCCTCTCAGCCGGCACCTCTCTCGCTCTCTCTCTCTCTCTCTCTCTCTCTCTCTCTCTCTCTCTCTCTCTCTGCGCCGCGAGCAAGCAAGGGTCTCCTCAATCGAAGTGGAACGAGTGAAGGAACAAGAGCTTCGATCAAGAAGGCTGCTTCAGAGCTTCTATCGAGGCTTCGACGACTACCATTGACAGTAGCAGGTACAAACTACCTCTCTCGGTCTCTCTTTCGGTTTCTCTACTCAGTCTCTGACTCTAGGGTTCACAATTTCTCTCTCTCTCTCTCTCTCTCTCTCTCTCTCTCTATATATATATATATATATATATATGAAAGTTTATAGTATTTATATGTGTTCTTAAGTTAAAATTTGAGTTGTAATGAATTGGGTTTTGGTGGGTGAAGAAATTTATGTCCTCGGGAGCGAAGAAAACGCTGAAAGAGGAGACAATTGAGAGTCTGAAATCAATGACGCCTTGAATCTTTGATAATTCTATGATTTATACATGGATGGAAAGCTCTTGTTCGAATTTATACATGGAATAATTCAATGATTAATTATACACTGACTCAATTTATACAGATTAGGCATTTTTCTCTACTCAACTTTACAAGTTGAATTGAAAATTGAATGCAGTTGATGCATGTTTGATATTTTTGATGTTATTTTCATAATTATTGTGATTTTTTAGCCTATTTATAATTATTTGTTAGTTTTTATTTTATTACCAGTTCGACCTTTGACCCAATGGGATTGGGATTTTAATACTGTGCTCTCCCATCTTCCATGTCTTTGGACAGGGATCTCATCTCCGAAAGTCTTGGTTGTGATTTCATCTCGTCTCAGTCGTATGCAAGCAAGCTTCAGTTTAGGTAATTTTTTGCAGCTCTCTCCCTTAAATTTCTGTCACTTTCTTTGTAGAGTGAGACATAGATATAACTTCAGATGTGTACTTATTGATCTTTCTGCCACCACTCATTAACGATAGGTCTCGATTTGGCATAGAAAACATCCCTCACACACTGCATCCAACTGATCCCACCAAACATCTCCATTTTTTTGCCTCTTTCTATTTTTATCACTTACAAAGGTGATCGTCTAGGCTCGCAAGATTGGGTTTTTACACCCACAGCTTTTGGATTGGTGAGTATTAATATAGTGATTTCAAATTTGTATATATTCTAGTTCTAAAACTGCTACTGAGATCATTTGTGTATATTAAGAGACTTTATCTTTATTATTAGAGACCCCCTTAGAATGCACTTAATTATCCTGATTTGTGGACATGTTTCATATTATTTGATTTTGTTTGACCCAGTATACATAAAGCATGTAATTGTTATAAAACATAATATATTAGCTTAATTAATACTTTTGTATATTTTTTTAAATTAAAATTATTATATGACCGGTCCAACCAATCAATCCAACGGTTGATCTAGTGACTCATTGACCCGGTCCCACGCCGAGTCGATGCGCGGTCCAGTTTTAATAACTTCAAGTTTCAACTATCAGATTTGGTGAGCAGTAGTTCTATTTTATATGCATGTCCGTATATATAGGCTTGGCTTTTGATCTGTAAAGAATCACAGCATATCGATGTAGGACGGAGGGAAGGTATGCCTCATGACAGAGACAAGCCGCCTGCAGTTCGTGTTTATACAGTTTGTGACGAATCCAAGTACGCTTCTGTCTGTTAGACATATATCTATTTTATTGTAGTTTTTTTCTAATTTTGATATTTTTAGTATTTCTTGCTAATATTTAATTAGTTTCTACGTGTTTGGGACAGATATTTGATTGTGAGGAATGTTCCAGCTTTGGGTTGTGGTGATGAGTTGTTAAAATTGTTCAGTACCTATGGAGAGGTTGAAGAGTAAGCTCTCTCTCTCTCTCTCTCTCTGTTGATTTTTTAGGTTGCTTAAAAATCAAATTTTGCACTTATATGAAATGGGTTCATGTCAAATTCATAGTTTCAGTAATTTTTTGTTATTGTGAAATGTGATTATCCTGGTGATTGTTGTTAATTTTGCTTGCATTGACTTAATGGAAAAGAGTTGCATTTGTTATTCGATTATAATCATGATGCTTTGAACTGTAGAGTTTATTTGATGCAAAGGTTGTAGTAGTGCAGTTTTAATAAATGCAAACTTTGCATTGATGTTGTTTCATTAAGTGGGTTGCTTTTTTTATTGATGTGGCTAGTTCAGATGTAAACCAATGGATGCTGAGGACTGTGAGCCATTCACCGACGTTTACTTGGTCAAGTTTCGTCATGTCAACAATGCCAGGTGATTATAGCTGTTTGTTAATATTTTTTTTATGTGATATGCACTAATCAAGTTTGTTATTGTGCTTATTGAATGTAGAATAGGCCAATATGTTCCGTTTTTTCTACTGGATGATGGAATTGGTTGACGGCACATATATTGTGCAACTTTTATGTGTGGCATGTTTGAGGCTTTAATTCTTTCATATAGATTTGCAAAAAGGAAATTGGACGAGTTTGTTTTCCTTGGGAATCGGCTGCAGATCTCATATGCACCCCAATTTGAGAGCCTTTCTGACACAAATGAGAAATTAGAAGGAAGAAGAAAGGAAGTTCTTGCTCGCTTGAACCGTAAGTTTCATAATGTAAGACATGATGATAACCAACAATAAATGAAATATTTTAAGAAAACAGGTATTCATGCCCATGATTTATGAATTTCAGCTGCAAGATCCAAAGGGCCTACAGTTCCTTGCGCAATTACTTTCAATGATCCATTATTGGGTGGAACTCCAGCACAGATCAATAGCATTTCCCAACCCATAAACTCCAACCAAAGGTAGAACGCTACTTAATTCAAACTTCTAAGTTGCTCTGCTGAATGGAGTCTGGAATGGTATTTTATCAAGAAATTGACATGGACGATCTATTAATTTTTGCTTGTTGTAGGGAATGCCGAGAGTCGGGACATCTATTTCCCACTCAAGATCGTGTTTCCATCACAACGGTTTCTTCTGACAAGGTTTTTACTTGTTTTGTGAATGGCATTCAAATAATTTGATTTGAAGGAGGGCATTTCAAATTATTATTTACCACCTAATCTTTCCTTTCAAATTACATGTGAACTGGATGCAGTCTATTTTCTGTCATTACATTGCCTATTTACTATGGTGATTGATGTAGCGTGTCAGCAGTTGCAAGAATATGTACTGTGAGATATAGCTGCACTGTATTTGCTTGTTTAAAAGCCTCACATAATTGACAAGATAGTGTGTGTTAAAGCATCGCAATGAGGAAAAAGGATTCATGTAGCTGACCCCAAAAAGGTTGGGACAAGGTTTAGTTGATTTGAGTTGAGTTAGTTTATGTTGAACCATTCCTTGTTCATTAAATCCATTGTAGTCATTTTTGCTTGGTGAAAATAGCTTCTCTAATGGAAATTTATCGTTGGTTCATATTTTTTGCTGTCTTAACCTCCTTTAATGAAGGCTTCATTCCGAACTTAGCTCTTATTCTACCCAAACACACCTTCAAGTGGCCAGTAGCATGTTTCTTATCTCATCACTCAATACGTTGTGGCTGAAAAATAAGTTCCATTTTCTTCATGTTCAGTTTTGGAGTAGTTGACCTGCAGAAATTCTGCAGCAGCGTCAACCTAATTGTTGAACTCTGAGGTGGTAATGCATAATTGCTTATTGGAGTTTTTTGAATTGTTGTAAAGACAACTTCTTGACATCATTTACATTATAATTCCCCCAAACTTCCTCTTGCTGGTGGTAACTGCATATTCACTCATTCTTACTTCTTAGATCTCTTCAAATTATCATTGCGGCTAGATTGTCCTTGCCCTACAAGAGCATTTTGCATGGTTTTGTATACTAGGTGTGATGTAAGCTATACGTCACTAAAAGGTGTGGTAAACTCCCATTTTTTGAACTTATCCCATTTAAGTGCTGAAGTTGCTTAGTTCATATCTTTCTGGTGCTAACAAAACAAATGTTTTTCTTTCCTTTATTTGAATGTCAGGATTACTTCTCCTCGCGATCAATGAATCAGACTGTCCAGCTAGTCAGGGAGAAGCTTAATAAGGTTATCAAACACTTGAAGATTAAATACTGTTTTATGATTTCTTTTTGAAGTTTGGGTTGGACTTCATCTATACTATATTTTTCTTTTCTGTTTTAGATACAATCAAGTGTCGAGGATTTAGAAGCTGGGCCGTCCAAGAAAAGGCTAGTGGACAATAGAAGAAGAATCTGATGAACTTTTAATAATGGACAAGGCAGCTGTATTTCAAAGTTTCTGTGCCTCGTCTTTCTGTCTGTGCTCAGTTTATTAATCTCATGGCTTTGATTATTGTCTGCGGTAGGCCTCCCTTGCACTATTGGATGACTTACGCCATACTACTAAGTTACTGTACCCATAATTAATATTCTATAGTGTTATGTAGATACTTGGAATGTATCAACAATTTTTCTGATCCGGTTTATCATCGACAAAAACGGAAAGGATATGATAAGCTCTGATCTCTGCTCAGAGTCTTGGGTGGATGTAAGCTTGGGTTCATTTCCAATCCTACCTCCCTTGGTCAAAATAGAAAAAGAACGAGCTACTAACATGAAATGAGCCTCACTTCCCTTCTTGTGGCTGGTCACTATACTGCTTAATTTGGATATTGGTTCATGCATTTTGTATTGTGATTAGTAGATATTGATTTTGTTTGTAAAGGTCAACTATACCTTCGTGCTTCTGCTTCTGAAAAGCAAATGTTTTTGGTAGCGTTTGAATGAGTTTAGTTGTTTTTCATGCACAACAAAAATTCACTAAGGGATCAATTCTCCTTCTGTTGTGTGAGGAATGAAAATACAGTGGTATTTTTAATGTCAAGTGCGATGGTGTTAGGAATATTTGTCCCTCAACAACATTGTGGGATGTCCTATTTACGCGGGGAGGAACCACCATCAACTGTCAACAACATAACCCCTTAAAATGCCTCGTTACTTCAATTGCTTTTGCTGTTATTGCCATGGGCGAGACTCTCCACTTTATACCATCCGTGATCTTCGTCACCACCAGCCAAGTTAATCTTTCCTAATCGCCATCGAAGTCAATTGCACTGGTCATGTCATCACTGCCTCCCAGTTTAACGATTCGTGTCGGGTTGGTGTTGCGTAAGACTATGTCAATCCTCTACTTTGTTACACTGATCACTCACAGAACTAGAGATGTTTATGGATTGGATTATCTAAGGGTCTCATTATCCGACCAAAAAATAGGTCCAATAATTAGGAGTATTCATGGGTCGGGTTACTCACAAGTTTCATTATTTGGCCCAAAAAAATAAGCCTAAAATTCGATAGTTAGCCAGTCTAAGTCCAATATCCTTTAAAATAGGGCTTGAATTTACCCTCAAACTCATTGCCCAGTCCAAAGTCCGGTCTAATAGGCCGCTCAAAAAAACTTATTAAAACCGACCCAAGAGTTCGTCCACCAAGCCCAAGTTGCTCACCCTTTTTTTTTTAAAAGTTATACTTTTAGACCATTAAATTTGAAACTTTGAAATAAGTCTTCCAATATCAGAATTTAAAGTTTTGAAATTTTAGATACTATAAATAATGTACTATTTTCTTTTTCATGTATTAAGCATACAAGTTTTAAATGGTAGAGTAATACAAATGATAGATAAGTGAGTAGGCGTTAACCTAGTTATACAAATAAAATTATTCATTATTTTTATCCATTTTAACTCTATTTTTGATTTAAAAAATATAATTTGCACAAATATTAAATAACAAAATATTCATTATTTTTAAATAAAATTGTATATGAAAAAACCCGCGAGTAGGTCCATCTAGCAAGCCCACCCACAGGCCGGTCCAATAGGTTCGTGGGTTGGGCTACGGGTAGCCCACCCCAGCTCAGCTGGCCGATAACTCACTTGGGTAAGGGCTTGAACCTACACTACCTAGTCCGACTCAAAAAAAAATTCGTCCACCTAACCCAACCCGACACATGGACACCCCCACACAGAACCGCCTCCAGCACAGATTGTTGCCACTACTGACTCTACACATACTGTATTGTCCTATGAGCATAGTAGGCAATAAGGAAATGTTATACTTCTCTCCATGTGCGTTGTGCTTAAAAAGAAGGGTTGCATTGTTTTGTATTACAGAGAAACTACAAGGACTTACGCTCTCTACCGCAGAAGTATGGGTGTTTTTCTTGCTTCATGTGAAACGTAATTTTAGTCATTTGCAACTCCAAATCGGTTATAAATATGATAAGAACAATGTCCGAAAACGAAACTGTCAAATGTTTCTTTGGAGTTTCTCAGGTTTCTTTAGTGGATCAGGCAATATTTGATTATAGGGTTGTTTATTAGTTTCGGCTTCTGCAAACGAAATACAGTAGCCTTCGCGTAAGTTGCTTTGAATATATAATTTCTTGCTACAGAGCCTGTAAAGGGGTTTAAGGTTTTAAGCCACTGGGTGCTTTAAGCCACCGTCTGAACGCCATCGTTGTCATCTCAAACAACTTTACTTTGCTTGTAGCAAAAGTCATTTCATTTTCGATCAAGCCATTGGGTTCTTTAAACCATGATCACAGAGATCTTCTAATTTTTGGCAACGATATTCTGGTTTTTAAGTCATCAACAATTCTGGTTTTGTGGATCATCGTTTCGATACCAGATTTCAATCACACATGGAAGACGCGGGAACATTGGCGTGCGAGGCTCGAAACTGAAGATCTAACCAGAGGTTCTTTAACTTAACAAAGTGAGAAGACCACTTTCTGAGATTCGTTCCCAAGAAGAGTAATAGGTGCTGTCAAGGCTTCATGATTTCACAAATAAAGGTCTATCTAGGTGATCTCTCTGGGTGTTCTCTTTGCTCCCACCCCCTTTTTTTAAATTAAAAAAAAAGTGAGAAGCGTTCTATAATTAGAGACCTTGGCAGGCATACCAGATAGAGGGCAGGCACAAGTCCAGCAACAACATAATTGTTTTAGGAGTATATGCCATACACCAACTTTTATTAGAAGCTATTACAGACAGTAAAATGATCTCATTTTCCATAATATGTCCACATAGCCAATAAATTAACAAGAATCAAATTCCACCCAAAGTACGAAAAATCATCAGCATTCCATTTTCTGAATTCAATAAGTAAATACATGCATTTCTTGATAATAACGAAAGAAGGCAATGTAAATGGCATATCCAAAAAAGAGTGAAAATTTTCAATTTTTATGTTTTTAGTTGATATTTTAAGACAAGTAAACCTGGACACTAGCCGTTTTCGGCAACTGGCATACAGGGCAAACATTGAATAACCCTTCACAATCTTTACACAAACACAAGTGTCTACAAGGCATTAACAAGATAGATAACTCCTTACCCTTGCATGCTCTGCAAATCATATTATCCTTCACGGATTTCATCAACTTTCCAGCCCCACTGGGAACATTGACGTAATTGTTGTTGTAACTGCAGGAGGCAGCATCATCTATATCAGAGTCTCCAAATCCTTCTTTGGCTTGGTCAGCACCATGTAGTGCTTGCTGGAGTTTGGTTTTCAAGATGCTAACAACCGATTCGTTGTATTTGGCCCTGTAGCACCAATTCTGGGCTTCCATTACCACCTTCTTCATTTTCTCAACTAGTTCCCTGTTCTTCCGATTTATGTTCTCTAACTCTACATCTTTCTCATGTAACTTCTTACCAACACCTTTCTGTAGAGCAGTCAGAAAAGAAGCCGTGTGTCTCTGCTTAATGTCCCTTAACCCCTTCACTAAATGTATTTCCTGTTTAATTAGCAATATAGCAGGAAAAAACATCATTAATTATTTACTAGTTCAGTCTTAGAAAAGTAAATTCATAAATATTATACTGAATTGGATTAGCTTTTCCCAGGTCAAACATCAAATAAACACCATTGATAATTCAGAGAGTAACCCATTGAAGAAATGAGGCTGGAGTAACATTTTTCACGTGATAATGCAAGGAAGAAAAAGGAAAGAATTTGAAATGGTTAAAGTAATGGCATGTTGGAAGACTGATAACAGCGCATCATATTTGATAAATTAGTATTAAAACCCTGGAAAAATCACCTCGAGCTAAGTACAAAAAGCCAATTGCAATATCTATGTAAGTGGTGAAACAGATACTGTGATAACTAGAAATCCATGTCAAAATATGGTGAAAAATCCTTTGCATGAATGAGGAACTAATATCGTTTTCTTTTTTTTTTGGAAACTAATGAGGTACTACTATCAACATCATAAACATGACAAATCGGTCAACTAAAGATCAACTTGTTTAGAAATTCATTCAGATTACACCCAACCATCGTGGAATATCTAGCAAGGCTCCAATACGAATACCGTACTATGGCAGATAACATACACCTAATAGTTCACTGGGAGAGCGAGAGCCAACAATACCTGAGTCTTAATATATTGATCCAATTCTTCTGTTTGTCGATCAAGTTCAGTCGTAATGTTGTCACTTAATGGTAAGATAATTGATGATGGTGCAGTCATACTTCGACTTGTAGAAGTGACAGAGGAGTTGCGTTCATCATCATCATATGATAGCTTTAAACCAGTTGACACAGGATTCTGGTTTTGAATAGCTGTTGGTCTGTCAGCTTCATCATGATAGATATTTTGATTCCAGGAAATCTGAAGCTTCCGCTGTCTTGAAATGTCTTCCGCTTCCCGGCCTCGTTTATTAGGCCGAAATATAGGGGTCTTATTCTCACTTCCAAAATAATTTACTTGATCAACAGTACATCCAACTGGTACTACAACACAAATTGCAATGTGGCATATTAAAGATCGGAGGAAATACTAGAAAGCCAACAAGATTGAATATAGGCAACAGATAACATAAACTGCAAGCCAAGATAAGAAAGATACTAATGGCATAGCAACTGCTCAACCAAGAGGATCACTACTAGTTTTGTTAAGCAACCACATTTAACTAATTTATCTAATTATTTTGAAGAAAATGTCACAAAACCCAAATATAAGCATTATTGTAACTCCCATGTAAATATCCACTGGACTAGACATAATAGGTAATACAAGCCAAATTTTCCCACTGCTGCTTCTTTCTTCTCTTATTACAATGATAAACGTTAGAATTCTCAAGTTCTTAATTTTCCATTTGGCAAGAGCTAAAAATATTGAAAATGGAAGAAATGAAACAGAAGAAACATGGTGATGATCCCATAAGTATATATGCTGACAATGAC